AATGGAAGACCTCACCCAGGGGCATCTTCTCCTTTCTGGTCAATTGAGAAAGAGTTTCTTTTTTGTTGTCTCTTTGATTCGCCCTTATCTGCTGGACAACTCATGTTACCACCATAAATTACCACCAGAACAGGATGCTTATTTTTTTAATGGACATTTATTTAAGAGTTGTCTTGAATAGTGGAACCAGCAACTTTATTATTTAGAAAGAATGTTTCCTAGTGAGAGACCTTGGAGCTGTGAAGACAAGGTCACATCTCTGAAAGCTGGGACTTCAGATTTGTTTTATCCAAATAAAGGCTTCTTATCTCTCTTTTTCCCACTTATAACAAGGGACCATCGTGGTGCTGGTCTACAACAGGGCCTTGCGATCCTCAGATAAAAGGAACTAAGCCAGGCCACAGCGTTATTGCACGGAGGGTGATTCAGCACCTGCCCTGTCATGCCTGGTGCCCAGGCGGAATGGATTTTTGGAGTACACCTGTTGTTGAACCCCTGCCAAGTACTGATGGCCACTAACCCCCAAATCACTTTTCCCCGCTGTTGATGTTTGGAGTGTCAGACAGGACTGAGCAGCAGCCGGCATGTATTTCAAACACAGCAGATGGATTTTTATATTAGCTCCTATTTCATGTTCAGGCAGGGCGACCGCCACACTAAAACCGCAGCCTCAATGCTGCCGAGTTTGCTTCTGTGAGATTAATTCTGTGAAATTAATTGGGACAAGATTGAAAAGGAAATTAAAATGCAGCTGAGTGAACAGGCCTTTCAAACACCTTTTTCCTGCTCTATTCAAACTTGAATTCTGCGGTGGTCGCTGGCATCGTAGGAAGTAATTTACGAGAGGCAGGCTCTCAGGAGCCATCGGTTACGTATGAGGAGACCTGCACCAGCACCACAATCTGGAGCCACTGAAGAGCGCTAAACACCCCGCTGTGGCCTGAGCTGCGTCCTGGCTCTGGGGAGGAAGGGAAGCTCAGTCCCTCACCAGAAAAAGCTGTTCAGAAATAATCTGGGTCCAAAAGGAACACAGGAACATCCGCTGGATGCACAGATCTGCTTCGTTATTAAAATCTCCCTTTAATATATTTTAAGACCCAAATTGGAACTCAGTGAATTAAGTGTGCATGAAGCTGCATGGGGCCTGCGCTGTACGGATGTGTTGCAGGGAGGTCAGCGGGAGTCTTCCTGCTGACTGTGCCACCAGTTACTGTATTGGAGTTTGGATAGGTGGCTGCTGTCTCTCCATGAAGAGAAGGTTGAATAATCTAACTGTCAGGGATGAACTCTCTGACCAGGAAAGGCACAGTGGATTTTCATGTAGGCCTCTTCACTGCATAGTTTTTTATATCCAAGTGAGAACCTTTTGTGCTGTAGAACATTTCTATAAAGAGTTCTTGGCAAGACAGGACCCTTTTTTTCTGTCTCAATTCACCAATAATTTATTGAATTCCTTGTACATGCCCAAAACTGATCCAAAAGGTTTACTTTATTCTTAGTGGAAGGGAGGAAAATATAATAATACTTCCTATTTTCTAGACACCAGGCACTTCTTTACACAAATTCTCTGATGTGGGCATCATAACAACCCTATGAATACAAATTATCCCAAATTTTTCCAGATGAGGAAACAGAGGATTAGTAAGATTAAGTGATTTTTTGCACAGGGTCATAAATAACCCACCTGTAATGGGCACTTACTTTCTTCCCTGAGAGCAGGACAGGTGATGGGCACTTGGTTATCTATGGAGATTGCATTTTTCTTGTTCAGCAGATCACCTTTTCTGGAGAATTTTTTTTTGAAAAAGGATAAATTTCTGGGGTCATTCCTACCCTAAGGCAAGATGATAAGATTCTCCTGAGTTTGGCTCTAGAAGTCTAGGATTCAAGGTTGGATTATGCTTGGGTGACTATTAAGAAACAGCAGGGAGCAGTAGGCACCCAAGACTGAAGCTGTTATCCTCCACTCCATTGCCTCCTCCACCCCACTTCCACATCCAGGGCCGGCCTTATCTCTCCCCCTCCCACCCAACCCCACTTCAGAATACTTTTATCAGTCAAAGAGAGAAGGTGAAGCCAGATGCATTTATGAGGGCTGAAAACAAAAGAGCTGGAAACTGGAATTTTCTTTGCTTGTTTAGACTGAATATAAGTAATCAAAGCTAAAAAACATTTTTGTGTGGAAATTCTTTAGCAGTTTTTGCAGTAGCAGGCTCACCATATTTAGAATGGGAACGTTTGAGGTGGAAGAAAGCTTAGATATTATCCCACTTGACTCCCTCATTTTACAGGTGAAGAGACACGTCAAGGTAAACTGAGCTGTATGTAGCCACCCCTTGTGTTTCTGGAGGAAAACAGGCTTCCCTGATTCCTAAACAGCAGGCCTTTCTTGCCTGACAGAGGTTCTACTGGCCTGAAAGAAGAGTAAAATGGGGCTTTCTAGACACCAAGAAAGTTTTCCTGGATAAAACTCAACTTGGGTCAGTTCTGCCCTTCCAGGTATAAGAGGCAGATTGCAGAGTGTAACTGACTCCAACAAAGGAAGCCAGCAGGGGCTAAAAGTGGGATAAATTTAGGATCCACACGAGAGAAGATTCCAGTAAGTAGAAATGACTGAACTTCTGAACAGACAGATGCCTGGGAATGGTAGCGAATCTCCTTTTCTATCTGTTTGAATTTGTTCATTTGTGCTTCTTAGACACAAGGGAATGGATTGGGTGGCCTTTTAAGGTTCCTTCCTGTCCAAAGACTCTTATTGAATTAGGTAATATAATAAAGGTAAATCCAATCTGAAAGGCTCCCAGAATCAACGTTAACTAGAATGAAGCTTTATAAGGGAAAGTTCAGTTGAGCTCCTAACTCCTCATTTCCTCCTCTGATATGCAGGGATTAGCAACATGGCCAAAGGAGGCAGCTGGTGTAGCTTCTCCAGGGAAGAAATGTGCTACTACAGTGGTATGGGAAGAAAATGGACTCAGAATCTTCTAGAAGAGTGGAGAAAGACGTTGATAGAACCAGGGTGACAAGGGATTCTCACTAAATTAAACTCTGATGTATTAGCTTTTAGTTATGGAGGAGAGGGAGAGGGGTTGGTTTTTAAAAAAACAGTTAGGGTTGGTTCCCCATGTTCTTTGGGATATCTTAAAAATACAATAGCCACAGGCAGCTCTATACTGCAGGACAGGTCACCACACAGCCCCTTCTAACTGGAGGAAAGGGACTCACAGTGAGAAGCCATTAACAAAGGCAAAAGACATGCAAAACAAACAAAATAATCATGACAGAGAGAAGGCCTGCAGACAGTCTGGCTCTGTTCTTTCCCCCCTCCTGCTGCAGGCACCTCCAGACAATGTAAACAGTTAATTTGTTCACCTGCAGGCTCTGGGCAAACAGAGGCCTGGTCACACCTGAGTGGATAACTCGATTACCCCTGTAATGCCAGCGTGGTAATGTACACAAATTCTATTACACGGCAAACCTTGCTTTCGGGCATTTGAAATACCAATCAGGCCAATGTCCACTCCCTTTTTTGCTTCCAATTTATTCTTGGTGTATTGGAGCTGCACTGAAATGGCACTGGGGTGGCACTGAGTTAGGAATCCAGAAGAAATCACCAGAAGATTGTGATCTCATTCAGCAAGGCCTGCAGGCCTCCTACTCTCTGGCAAAGGGTTGAGTCTGAATTTAGTTCTTGTTTAAAGGGGCCTGCTTCATTGGAACCACTGAAAGGTACACTGGGTTAGACCTGGACTGTTTCCTAAGGAGCTTCTGGTATATTTCAAACCAAGATAAATCTTGGGGTAAGGCAGTAACATTCACAGAATAAAGATAAATGGTAAATGATGGGTTAATAACACAATGAGTTTTCAATTTTCCCTTATGGAATCTACATATTCAGCAATTAAGAGCAGATTGTGCCTCTTTCAAAAATGTGTTTGTAGATATTGACTGACTGTATATAGAGAGGACTTTTTAATAATTTATTTTAGGGACAGAACCTATTATTTTAGCCCACCTATGGAATGAATATGTGTGGTCTTTCTTTACTGATCCCCCAAGCCCGTGAGTTCTGTGTCTCCTTCACACGGATCTGCAGTAATCCATCCTTTTAAAATTTTAACCCAGTTTGCTTATGATCAACAATACTATTTATGGGATGGTTAGCTGAAGCAAGGGGTTAACTTGTGAGTAAGGGAGAGAATAAAGTTAGCTGGCTTGCATGGCATTAGATTCACTCTCTTGGCCTTATCAGCACTTGCTCAAACCGATTGAGCTAACTAGCTCTGAATCCTCCTCCCATATGTAATTATATTACAGTTTTGTTTATCTATAAATGAAATAAGAAGGCAGCTTACCTAGCTAGAATATTTTCAATAGCATTATATAGTTATAAATTATGTACATAGTAATGACCTATAAGCACAAGCCCCTGAAAAAGATCAAATTTTGATTGGCATAGTTTTTTTTTTTGTTTTTTTGTTTTTTGAGTCAGAGTCTCACTCTCTTGCCTGGGCTAGAATGCCATGGCGTCAGCCTAGCTCACAGCAACATTAAACTCCTAGGCTCAAGCGATCCTACTGCCTTAGCCTCCCGAGTAGCTGGGACTACAGGTATGTGCCACCATGCCTGGCTAATTTTTTCTATATATTTTTAGTTGGCCAATTAATTTCTTTCTGTTTATAGTAGAGACAAGGTCTCGCTCTTGCTTAGGCTGGTTTCGAACTGCTGACCTTGAGTGATCCTTCCGCCTCGGCCTCCCAGAGTTTTGGTATTATGTCAACTTTATTGTATATTTAAATTTGAAAATTGGTTCCTGAATCTGGATTTTCAACTGAAAATTTCCCTAACGATTATGAATAAATGGGAGTTTATTCTATGTGTGAGGGAGTCATGTAATACACACAGAGAAGTGAATGACCTGGAATAATTTCGGTTATGGTGACTACATCACTGAGTGAAAAAATTGACTTTTATCCAAGCCCCACACTCTCTGTCCTTACCTTGCTCAGAATGCGGATGAGGTCACCTCGTTGGAAGGACAGTTCATCTGGCTGGTCACCATGGCAATCCCATAGGCCCTGGTAATAATTGGCAGAGTCTACTGATCAAAGAGAGGAGAAATCAAAGTTAAAAGACCTCTGTCTTTCCCAAGGAGCCCACATTTTTTGCTGTAAATGGAGACCAGGTTCTGATATTGCCCCTAGGAAAACTGAGATTCAGGGAGGTTGATCTGAGATACAGCCAAACACTCAGTGTGAGCAAAGGACTATGGGAGAAAGAGATCATTAACTAACATTAAATATTTACAGATCATCCCTAGTAGGATGCTGTTCAACAATATGATAAATATATGTATTTATTAATAAAAGAAAATCAGGCAGGTAATTTTTCACTTGGTTTGTAAGTAAGCAGCACACAGAGGTTTCCCGCTAGACTTTCTTGATCCAGGTTGTCTAAACTACTAGTGCTTCTCTTCCTTGTGCATTTGAAGGATCAGGATAAGTCTCTGACTTCTGCCTCTTTACAAGAGAGGCTGAGTCAGCCAGCATGCTTCTGCATCACAGCTCACATTTTGGCTTTCTCTGTTACACAGGAACTTCATCCTAGGCACTTTCCACCCAGGTACTATATGAGGCAATCACCAATAAATACTGAAACGAATAGCCCAGTCTTTAAGTGGAACCAAGGGGGTGTCTCATCCATTACAACTAAATTCTGGGTGGGCTGGCCCTTTTCCAGCATCTCATTTGTAGACCCTGAACATGTCTGCCAAGATTTATCTCCAAGCCCCCAGGGGAACAGAAACCAAAGTGATCTGCATTAAAAATGAAAGCAACTGAAGACGACAACCCAAGCTTTAGAAGCAGCCGGAGAGATTTACTGGGCTTCTCAGCAAGACTAGATGGCAATGATGCCACAGGACAGCCATCGATTCTTAACAATGAAGAATTTGTATTGATCTTCTTCTACCCGGAAAGGTTAAACACTCGAGTACAAAGTGGGACAGGATCTGGGGATTTGAATGGCAGGAGAGCTAATGCCCAATAGACCAGGGAGGCTCCCTGTTCCTTAGGATGCTACCTACGAGAGCTGTAAACAAAGCATCTATCAAAGATGAAATTTGATTGATGGGAGTCAGGAGTCCTGCATTCTGATTAAAATTCATGTGATTTCTGGGGACTCTATTCTACAGATTTCTACCTTTCCTTTCATTGGTCTTGACCCTCCCATGAGCAGTGATGGTACTGTTCACTGAGGACAGGGGCAAGTGGGCAGTGGGGACATTTACATTTTTATTTACTTTTTTCCTACTTGTTCCTGACTGATGAGCAATTCAAACAAAGGCACAAGGGAACAGAATCCCTATATGTCTCTGGAAAAGAACTTCAGTAGGAATCTTAAAGGGCACAGAAGGAGAGGAGGGATACAACTGTTTAGTTAATACCCAGATATTGCAAACGGAAGTAAAAATGTCAACTATATAGAAATTCTAACACGTTTTCTTTACACAGAAAATCATCTGTATGTGCAGCTGACAACAGAGGGCAGCAAACAAGATAATTACTGTGAAAACATTCTGCCACAGAGTTGAGAATATGTTTGGAAGAAAAACACTTTGGGAGAAGTAAGCTAATTATTGAAAATACAAAGCATATTTTTTGGGGGGCATGAAATAATAGAGAAATATTTTTGGGCATGAAATAATAGAGAAATATCAGTCCTTGAAAAGTAAAAGTAGTTGTCCCAGAGGATATATTAATGCACTTTCAGTTGTAATGAAATTCATTAATCACTCCAAGATTTTGACCAAATTTAGGAATGAAAAGTATATTGATATTAATATTCTTCATGGATTTATATATGGTAGAGAAAATAATTTTTATAAAACTAGATTTTTTAAGGCATATGTTGATATTTTTGAATGGTAAGAAGACTAACAAGGTTACATTGGCTTTTTCTGGCCTAGCAGACAGTCATTTTGGGGATGCTGCTCACCACTGTGTGCCTGGATGTAGGATAGTTCCTAAGATTACAGGTACCTTTTTGGTATATATGTAAAAAGTGATTTGATATTGGCTATATATGGGACCTGGGGAGAACACCTGGAAAAAGACATAAAAGTACAATGGATCACAGGGAAAGTAAGAAGCTAGGAGGAAAACAAGCCTTCTAGAAAAAAAAATAAAGATAGAAAAGGCTTTTGGTGCTAAGGGCCATAAGAAGATAGAGTTCAGGAATCTGGGAGATAGTTTAGCCTAGCCCAAGAACAGGGATTGTCAGAACTAGAATCATTACAAGATGTCTCTGAAAAATAAGCAGAATGAAGGGCTACAAACTGGGAAAAGGTTGGACTCACTATCTAGTTAGAGGGATTCGGGTATTAATATTATGGATATCAGTGAGGGGTAATTCCTTAGCTGGACAAGATCAGACTCCATATTGCAGACTCCCTGTTTAACATATGTGTGGTTTGCATTTATGAGTATGGGCATGTGTGTACTCACTAATTTGGTCCTCAGCTTTCAACAAACATGTACACAGCACCTACTAATGCCAGGGACTGTGTCAGAGACCAGGAATTCTACACCAGCCACACACAGGCCCCGCTCTCAAGGCTACCCTGCAGTGGGGGAGGCACCGTGGAAAAAACAGTAACACAAATATTTATTTATGATTGTGATATGCCTGTGAAGGAGAAATTGATGCCGTGTGTAAGGGGGAATTTAACCCAGTTTAAGGGGTCAGGAGGGCTCCTCTGAAGCTTTAGTTGTATAACAAAAACCTGACCAAGTGGGTATTATTTAAGGACCTTGCAGAGGGGAAGAGGTAAGGCCGAGGAGGGCTTCTTTCCTGAAGCTTGGTCCCAGGAAGAGCCTGAAGGCCCCAAAGTCTGCAGGGCTAGTCCAGCTTCTCCTTAAACTTGCCCAGCTCATCCCATAGACTAGTGAATACACGAGGAAACTTTGATTTCTTTAAAATAGTGAGAGGAATTGAGAGCCCGAAAATGAGGCTTGCCTCTGTGGGTTGGATTTAGGTTCCTTTGGTTTACACTACCTTGGCAGCAGTCTGAGATCAGAAATGGTGCAGCATTCTGACCATTTAATTAATTCAAAACATCCTCATTCTCATTTTGAGGACATTATTCCATCTAATTATTTTTTTTCCAGTCTGTCCATTTGGAATGAAAAACAAAAGAATAAAGCTTAATGCCAGCATTTCTCAATGTCTTTCCAAAAAACGTAACTCTGCACTAAATAAAGCCTGGTAATTCAAAAGCAAAGCACTAATATATTCAGCATAAAACAGACAGAGGACCTAGAGCAATAATGACACCACTAATAACTAAAACAGTTATAACAATTAACAACAATTACAATGATAGAGAAGCTAATGGGTATGATCACTGCATTTAAATTGCTAGCAGAGCTGAGAAGGACTTTTTCTAGAGAGAAAAAAAGCAGGGGTGGGGGTAGAAGTGGGGGTAGGGGGCCAGTATCTTATTCTATTTATCCCATGTAAGGGAAACTAAGCTCCAAGTGTATAAAATGTCATAGGAAGAATAGCAACAGACCAAGCTTTTAAAAAAATTAGTATTGTTTTTCTCTTTTCTAGGTACTTATTGCAAAGCATTTGTCATTGCATGCCAAGGTCTTTATAACTAGTAATAGTCATTTTTCCTGTAACTGAGGTTAAGTTGGTGATATTGTTGACAGAGTCAATATCTGAAAATTAGCCTCTATGTTGTGGAAAGTTCTAAGGTAAAAGGACCAGGACACCTTTCTGCCCTTTCCCTTCCTTAGGGACAAGAGAACCTGACTGTGTTCCTTCCAGAGTTCAGCTTTTGTTTGAGGGACACTGGGTAGCTCCAGAATTGAAGCTGTGGCCAGGAAAAAGAGGCTAAAGGCAGGTCAGCATGTTGTTTACATTTTCTTGATCATTAAAAAATGACGGTGTCAGTGATTTAATAAGTTGAGCCTATTAAATTATGGAAAAGACCAAACAAGATGACGGATAAAGCGAGTTCTACCAGCACATGGGACCACGTGGACAAAAAAGCCAAAGCAGTGACCCATGGAAGTGACTTGAAATGTTTTCTAGGCCAGGTCAGAAAGGGCCACCTTGTTCAGTCCATTCAAGTAGACTCTGTCTGATACATTATTAACTATTTCAGAAAGGAGATATGAAGAATTTTCTGAGCTCTACTGTCTATGGCACCAGAACAGGAAGAGCAATCAAGCAATACCTTTTGCTTATTTTCATAGCACTTTAATCTTGAGTTTTGAAATTATTATGGTCCTTTATAAGTTTGATGTGGAAGTGGGGAACACTCACAGATCCTGATTTTCATCTCATTTGCTCCTTTTATTGGGCCAAAATTTTAGTGGGTTGATGACCAATTCATGTTTGGTCTTGGGAAACAGATTTTGAAAGGTAAGAACTGCAAATAGGTCTGTGGTTTCACTGTTTCTTTCACGTAATAGTTCACTCTGTTAGCAGGCATTAGAGTGGGAAGAGTGCTTCAGAGATGGAATGCCCATCAGCAACCATTCTTCTGCCCTCCTGAAGGCAGGAGGTTGCTTATAAGCACAATCTTTTGCTTAAGTGTGGTCTGTCTCCTTTTGGCTTAGTTTGTCCCCAATTTCAGACCCTGTTTTAAGGTTTTCTTTGGTCATGGATTTGATGTATCTAAGGATTATTTGTGTCTCCAGGGCTGCTTTTTATTTGATATAGCACAGCCAAGCAAATGGCTAGTAATTTTAATACAAATAGCACAGAGCAAATTTTATTTTTGGTTACCTGGATATTACCTTTTCAGGATAAGTAAGGGAGATAAGCTCTCATTACCTAAGATCAGTAGTGTTAGACTGCTAGGCTGGTGGGTTGGAATTTAGTGAAAATCTGAGGTGTTGAAGAGTCACTCATTAAAATAACCCTATTACTAACAGTCATGCTGTAAACCGAGCTCTTTATAGATTGAACAATCAATACTACAAGGCTGTGATAGATTTTCTAGGTAACAGAATAAAATAAAAGAAATTACATCTTACAGGGTCATTAACACTCAATAAGGATAAACTGAATTCCTGTACCCCCCTCCTTCTGATAAGATCTAGTTGGACATTAAAAATGTTAGCAATTCCATCAGGGAAAAGCACAGCATTTAAAGAACAGGATTCACACATGTTGGAGAAAAGTACTTGGATTTTAAAGGCAACCCTGCTAGCTATAGCATCTTTTAGGAGAAAAGGAAAAAGGGAAAGATCAACTTGCTTAATTTTTTTTCCCCTCCAAAAAGCATGTTAACAACTGAGAAACACTAAGTGACACAAACTTATGTAGCTTGCCTATGACATAAGAATTTGCACTGTCCTAGAGCTCCCTGCCTTTTAAATACCTTCACTGGGGTTTCCTGCCCTCCCCCCAAACTCTATATTTTATTGTTATAAAACTAAATGATGACATTAGGATGTTACATATTTGTCACAGTTTCTATAGCTCCTTTGGAGAAAAGGCACTATAAAAATTCAATAAATAAATAAGTAAACACAAATAATAAAAATTCCTGCCTCAGATTTTGCAGAGAGAGCAAAAAGTCCACCTGTTTTGTAATCCCTAAGTCACCAATCATCATAACTGGTGGGAAGTATAAAACAGAAACATATTTAGAACTCACTATACTTTAATAACACCTATTTTGGAGGCAGGAAGCATGACGAACAAGAGGGTTTTTTTTTTAAAGAAAAAAAAGTTCTTGAATTATAGCTACTGGAACAGTTAGGAAATAAATCTCCTCTCACTTCCCAGATATAACCTTACAGAGAGAGGTAGAAGGAGGAAATGAGATGAAGGAGGGGTATGAAACTGAATTTTAGACTTTGCCAGAAGACTGATGGATGCTTCCCGAATGGCATTTAATATAAAGTTGGTCATAAGAAGCTTACAGTTGCTCCACACATGCTGTTTGCATGAAGTGTTTCTTTTATGAACTGGTGACAGAAGTTGGTCAAGAAAAGATGCATGTGGAATGTGGGTGGGTCAGAACAGATATTTGGTGGAATTCTGTACAGCAAGTAGAAAATAGGTTTCAGAATGGACTGAATCACATGTGTTAATTATCATAAGGTACTCGAAGCTATGCAACTCCCTTGCATCATACCGACCTCAGGTGCTTTCTTTCTTTTTTTTTTGAGACAGTCTCGCTTTGTTGTCCAGGCTAGAGTGAGTGCTGTGGTGTCAGCCTAGCTCACAGCAACCTCGAACTCCTGGGCTCAAGCGATCCTGCTGCCTCAGCCTTCCAAGTAGCTGAGACTACAGGCAAGTGCCACCATGCTCAGCTAATTTTTTCTATATATAGTAGTTGGCCAATTAATTTCTTTCTATTTAAAGTAGAGATGGGGTCTCGCTCTTGCTCAGGCTGGTTTCAAACTCCTGACCTTGAGCAATCCACCTGCCTCGGCCTCCCAGAGTGCTAGGATTACAGGCGTGAGCCACCATGGCTGGCATCAGGTGCTTTCTTTCTCTTTTGCTGTGGCATATGACTTCTGATGCTGCCTCTACACTGTCTTTTCCCACCCCTGGGAGAAGATGGACCTGTAGGAAGTTGAGTCCTAAACCTTTTAAATATTCACTTCCTGTAGAGAGTGAACTCAGGAAAAGGGGATTTTGCTAAATGGATAAGGAAGAGAAGAAAAAGCACAAGGAAAAGAGGAGGGAGGAGCATGGGAAAGGATAAGGCCAGAGACATGGAGAGGTAAGAGGGAGGGAAAAGAAGGAAAGAACTCCTAGGCTCAAGATTTTCATACATTCTCTAAGAAAAAAAATCATCTAGTATCTAAATCAGTCATGATTCGGGGTCTGCTAATGGAATGAATGTCCTTGAGGTGGCCCTTCCAATGTGCAGCATTCCTTTACTGATGACAGTGGAATAGGCCCTCTACTTAGGGAGGCTTCAGAGGGGCATCTGACCTTAGAAAGGATGGGCTCACTAACAGTCTGGAGCATGGTTAACAGTCTGGGATGAATAAGATGTAATTCTGTATTCAACAAACCTGTTACATATTCATTTCCAAATGTGCCTGGAATCAAACCAGGCCATCAGAAGTCAGCATCACCAAGCAATTCTATCCTTTACCCCATGTTCACTTTTCAGATCTGACACATTTCCATTCCCCTCTGAACTTGCAATCTCCAGGCCTCTCAGAGAGGAGACATTTCCATTCTTTCCATTCTCAATCTTCTGATCTCTTAGAGATGAGGCAATTCTATTTTCACTGTACTGATTTAAGAAATACTGATAGGAAAAAATAAATATCTGGTTTGGCTTCCCACCCTCTCTAGGATAAATCTGAGCTGTTCTTGGAACATTAATTAAAGTGAATGGGTAGCTGCTTTTAAAGTTAAGGTATTTTCCCTACCCAGTCACTTTGTTTGGGGCTTTTGGGGTCGCACACTAGTACCCTGTTAATTATCAAATCCAGTAATTTTTGTAGTTTTGGAGAAAGGTGCTTTCCTCTAGTCAGAGCTGGAATGTCCTACCCAGTGCCCATGCATTTATGAAGCTCTTATACCTCCTTTTCGTCGAGTGCCACTCTCATCCTCTTCTAGGTCATGCTCTTCATCTGAGGGGATAAATGAGCAGTATTAGCAATTAGTGGTCGACAGTCTCACATTCATTACACTGAGGGGTCTCCTTTCTCTAAGTTCATCATACTCTTTTCTTTAAGGGAAGTTTAATTACCATGTTATTATTATTATTATTATGACTTTTTAGACAGAGTCTTGCTTTGTTGCCCAGGCTAGAGTGAGTGCCGTGGCATCAGCCTAGCTCACAGCAACCTCAAACTCCTGGGCTCAAGCAATCCTGCTGCCTCAGCCTCCCAAGTAGCTGGGACTGCAGGCACATGCCACCATGCCTGGCTAATTTTTTCTATATATATTAGTTGGCCAATTAATTTATTTCTATTTATAGTAGAGACGGGGGTCTCACTCTTGCTCAGGCTGGTTTTGAACTCCTGACCTCGAGCAATCTGCCCGCCTCAGCCTCCCAGAGTGCTAGGATTACAGGCGTGAGCCACCTCGCCCGGCCCCATGTTATTATTGTTTTAAAAATCATCTCTCACCTTCAAACTGGCTGTCTCCTCCTTCCTTTCCCATTCATTAATCCATAAACATTTTGAAGTGCTTATTACATACAAGATGCTGCACTAGCAACTGGGGACAAGCAATAGACAAGACCATCCTTGTGGAGCTTCTAACCCATTGGATTATTTAGGTGTCTATCATTAGGATCCTAATCCTTCTCCTCAAACTATTTCTCCTCCCTTTCTGGAATTTTCTTCAAAATTTATTGTCTTAATGCAAGTATTTTCTCTGGTTTTTCTTTTCTTTGTTTCTTTCTTTCTTTTTTTTTTTTTTTTGAGACAGGGTCTCTCTCTGTGCAGTGACATCATTATAGCTCACTACAACCTCAAACTCTTGGGCTCACATGATCCTCCTGCCTCAGCCTCCCGAGTAGCTGGGACTACAGGTATGTGCTGCCACACCTCGCTAATTTTTCTATTTTTTGTAGAGATGGGGTCTTTGCTATTGCCCAGGCTGGCCTCAAACTCCTGGCCTCAAGCAATCCTCCCACTTTGTCCTCCCAAAGTGCTAGGATTACAGGTGTGAACCACCATGCCTGGCCCTTTCTGGTTTTAAGCACTCCAGAATTAGGATGTTACGGGGTGTGTGTGTGTGTGTGCGTGTGTGTGAAACAGATCTGAAGTGGGTGTTTAATCCCTCTGTGATTAATTAGTCCTTAATGTATCCATCTTTGTTCAGCTATAGCGTGGCGGAAGCTGGTCATGTACATAATTTTATGTTCCTAGTACTTGGGGCTTGTAGTTATCTTTTTACTGCTTTTATTCAGCCTGCCTTATTCATTAGAGTATAAGCTCCTGAGGGCAGTTGGAATGGTCTTTTAATTAATTGCTGTAGATTCACAATGGGTTCTAAGTCAATGCCAGTGTCTAACTCCAGTCAAGTGTTTATACGGCCAAAGCCACAATATGATTGGCCTAAGTTTCTTACCCTCATTAATCTGTTTCATCTCAGACTTCATACTACCTGACAAAATAGGAATTTGGCCTTTCTAAAGAAAGCATTGTACACCAGAATCATATTTAGCTATTTTATACATGGGGCAAAATGAGCAAAAATATATTTGCTGTTTTTTTCACCACCACCACCACACTCATCTCTCCCTCTCTCTCAAATACACACCCACGTACACACACATGCACAATGAATAGGGCATAGTAAGCAATATTTTAAGGGCTGAATATTCAGCTTCTTCTGGCCACATTTCCGTCCTTTCCTTTCTCTTTATGGGTCTTATGGTACTTGCTTGTCTTGCTTCTCCGTAGTTTTGCCACTAAATGGAATCTTTGAGGAGATGGTCTGGGGACGTTTGTTTGTTTCTTTTTTTAAATGTAAGGTTTATAGGCCAAAATGAATTCTGGTACGTTAGACTGGGAGAAGTAAAATCTAAAGTCGAAGGTAAGAAGAGGCAGCATAAAAATATGTTAGAATACTATAGAATATTATAGAAGTAATTGATTTCACATAAAAAATGATACCATTCTTTGCAAAAATAAAAATTAAGAGATTTACACTCTGGGGAAATAAATCACTTATTACCAATGTGTGTGTGTGTATATATATATATATATACACACACATACATATACACACACGCACACACACTTGTCCTCAAGATACTATAGGAAAAGGAACACTTGGACTCAACGATTCTTGTCCCCATGTATGAGCTAGCAGCAGAGAATTTCCTACTTACCACCTGTAGTGTGCTTCCCCAACCCCACCGTGAGGAATAAAGATGTGAGATAATGGAGAAGTGAAATCAAATATAGGAAATAGATCGTGCTGAAATAAATCACATTAAACATCATTCTTTGCACATTGTCTTCTCATTACTTGCCCACTTCCTTCCTTCCTCTACTATGATGCTTTCCCTTTTTGATGTGGGACTAATTTTGCAGGATTGAAAATATTAGAGAAGGAGTTGGTACATCCTCAGCTTTAAAGATACCCAATAATTTGGACAGAGAGCAGCTCTTTTGCTGATATCAGACAACTCAATCACAAAGACCAGCGATTTGCTGTGCTTAGGAGCTTTCGCAGAGAGGGTTTATTCTACCTCTGCTGTCTGTGCGCAGCTGTCTCTTCCTCCCAATTCTAATCAATGTAAATTGGGTCAGATCTCCACTGTGAATTACAAATTGGATCCGAAGTTGGAGGGTCACCGTGCCTGCTACTCCACCTCCTTCCCACCACCATTAGATGGGAAGCTACACCAAAGATCTTTTCTAAATAAATCAGACTTTATTGTAAAACTCGGCCACTGACGAGACATAACCTCATTAGCATTGATTTTAAAATAAATTATTGAAAGTGGCTTGCCTGCTCTTTGCATTTGTAAAATAAGAGAATGTAAATGTGTTTGCAATGATAAAAATGAAAACTAAAACTTGATTCCTTTATCCTTTCAAGGCAACAGCACTTAATCTAGTCATGATACAAAAATGGAAAAATAGAAATCTCAATTCCAGACCAGATACTCTTATTTCCGTTGCACCTTTGGAGTCACTTAGAAAGAAAGAAAAATGCTGCCATAGAGCTTGTATATCATTCACCACCATTACTAAACTTTACGGTGATGGATGTGAACGCGGAAGCTCCAATCCCCACGTTTGTTCTAGCTAACACTGTCCTTCCTGGGTGGCTGAAAGTGGGCACGAGTTGAGAAGCCTTGCTATTGATGGGCTGGGAGCTGCGCCTCTGGGCCCTTTGAAAGACAGAGTATGGGGCATCGACATATAGTGGAGGAAAGTGCCTTCCACAGCTGGGAAGCACACCCCTCAGCGCCTCCCCCGGTTCAGAGGGCACAATACAAATAGCGAGGCACACAATTTATCTCAGATCCTCCCATGAAACCAAACTGGTATCTTTAAGCTCCAAAATCAACACAGTGGATTATATGGCAAAAAAAAAAGCCTTTTTTTTTTCTCACAAAAGGGGGTGAGTTCAATGGCTAAATTTCACATTTTTATTAATCCGTAACATAAGGCTTTAATTTTAAGAGACCATTTTGGGGAAAATATTTTTTAGGCTAAAGAGCTTGTTGAACTTCTTTATAAGAATGTTATTAGGCATTTTAGCATTACATCTACTGAAATACATCTTCATTTAAGAGAGAATTAAAATTTATGTGCTAGCTCAACTTTAAACAGTAATAGATTATAATGGTCCTTGCTCCTAATAGGGCATATGGGACCCCAACCTTACATAGGTTTTAAACAAATTAACCTCCAAAGATTACTGTCCACTTATTACATTAAATGCTCTATGTGATCCCCAAATATCTCATCTCAATTGGGAAAACAGTTGAAGAAGATTCTGTTAACTGTGTGAACATGTAAGCGAACCATGGGGCATCACAAATGAGCATCGGTATCTGGAGATTCAATTTCAATCAACATTCTTGGCTCCATTTCAGGGACACTAATGAGAGGCTGAGAGGAACAGGACACTGAATCCACCTCAGAGGGACAGCGAGGAGCCAGCTTCTTATGACACCTGGCTCCTTTCTGAAGCTGCTCTGACACCCCTCTGCATTGGCTAAACTGCTATCAGAAAGAATAACATCCGAAAAATTGACTACCTTAGGAAGAGGGGCAATCACTTCCCCAAACAAAGCAAAGTGACAACTTTAAAAATGCCAACTGTATCAATGTGCAACCAGATGTCAAGGTGCTCTGGTGACAGATGCAACAGAAGTACAGACAGCCTAGAAGTGCACAGGGAACATGCAGAAAAGTGGAAAGTAATAGCTCCATGGCATGGACAGATACATTATCAATCTATGGATGCTGTAGCACCTCATCAGACAACAAATATAGGCATGATGGAAATATATAAGCACGATGATAATAACACATATAATTCTCTCTTGTGTATTTGGTAATCTCAACTGTAACCTCACAATATTTGCATCCTCTTTCTGTGCTGTGGTTTTGATGTAGAATATATTAAACTCAGTTTGTGCTAATTGCCACACTTGGAATGCACTGAGTTAATTTCACAAATAATAACTCAGCACCTACTAATTGAGGAGAAAGACCTGAATACAAATCACTGTGGTAAGGGCTAAAACAAAGCTTAATTTCGGTTAAGTATCTGGAGGGTGTTACTGAGGAAACACATTGGAGCAGAATGTGTAGGATTTTTTTTCTTTTTCTTTTTTTGTTTTGAGACAGGGCCTTGCTTTGTTGCCCAGGCTAGAGTGCAGCGGCAGGATCATAGCTCACTGCAACCTTGAACTCTTGGGCTCAAGCAATCCTCTTGCTTCAGCCTTCCAAGTAGGCAGGACTACAAGCACATGCCACCATGCCTGGCTAATTTTTAAGATTTTTTATAGAGGTGGGGCCTTGCTGTGTTGCACAGACTGGTCTTGAACTCCTGGCCTCGAGTGATCCTCCTGCCTCGGCCTCCCAAAGTGCTGGCATTGCAGGTGAGCCAACGTTAGCCAATGTGAGCCACTATGCCCAGCCAGAATGTG